GCGCAGCATGCAATATCACCAAATAGTCATCTTCACCCATCGTCCCTGGGTGTCGAAAAGCTACATTCAGCCGCGTAGCCCCCGCCAGGGGCCCGGCTACCATCATGCGCGACGCATGTGCATCGAGTCTTCTACGGCCATCGCACAACTCCTCCACATCTATGAGAAATACTATACATTTCGTCGCATGAATAGCCAGGTTGTGGCTATGATATTCAGCGCTGCGCTGATTCTACTCTACGTTACCATCTCGAATTCCCGACAAGGGAGCGACAACGGCAATAATGCCGAAATGGTCGCCTACCTGAATCTTTGCTTCCGTGCCCTCGATGAAATCGGTCAGTCGTTTGAGAACGCGAAGCGCACGCGGGACTTTCTCGTCAGTCTTCAGCGGCGTTGGCAAGCACATATGCGTCGCTCGGGGTCTGCCGTCAAGCGGCAGATGAGCCACCGAACACCGTCACAGAAACCCATGGGACGAACAAGGGACGCGGACGTGTCGAGGAAGAAATCGCGGACCACAGCGGCTCGGAACCAGGCCGCGATGCCTCTCTCGCTGCCGACAGCGCATGCACTCACTGGTGCCGGTTTGCCATTCGGCCAACCGCAGGTTATGACTCGAGCAGCCCAGCATCAGCCACCATTGGATCCTGCCCAGCAATCCATCGCGGTTCAACCAGGGGATTTCGACTGGATCCGCGATTCGGACCTGCAGCTGCTTTCTGACAATCTTGGCGAGGACGGTTTTCCACCCCTTAGGAACACAAACTTGTATGCCGAGGACACCGCCCTGCCCTCGCTCAACGACATCGAATCTTGGTGGGGTTCACCGGAGGGGAACACATTTGGGGGTTCTTCGTTATGACCATAGACTAGATATGATTTGAAGATTTGTAATCTCTTTTCTTCCCTCAAGCTCCATCTTTCAGCGACGCCTTTATGCAGATAGAATATCTCACATGTTCTCCAAAAGAGTTGACACGATGGCCATGGCATGAAAGCCTATTAGAAAAGCATGTCGCTAGATCCCGTTTAAGATATCCCGAGAGAACCAGCAGCGATGCGATTGAGAGACCTTCACAGTTGAGAGCGATGGTATACCAGCACGTCAATCGGTTACGTTGTGGGACAAAATCTACACGAGCAGCGCAGATCGGTAGTTTGTAGCTTAGTACGCGGCATGGAAAGCAGCGGAAATTGGCGGGCGGGGGAGATCTCGGAAGTGGCGCCGCGGAACCCTTCCGTCCCCGCACAGCCAGCGGTCTGTGTGCAGTCCCTCCTACCAGGGGACCATTCGGCCGTGATGACATAGGGTAGTATAACTAGGGAAGGCACACATTGATACACTACTTGTAAGGATCTGTAATGGAAGCTGCTTCACAAGGTATGCGACCACCATTGCTATGGATTCCTTTGGCTTGGAGTAAGGAAGAAGGATGCGGACGAGAAGGAGTGATTGTCGCGAGACAAGTAAATCTATACCTAGCGAGACATTGTTCCAGATGAACTTGGAACCTTACCCTTGTACAGTACACTATCACAAATCCAGTCAATACTCTCCTACTCGGCCATGAGGCAGTTTGAGTCAAAGTAATCCCGCATCTCCGCGACTACCCTTTATTGTAATCTCCTGGAACCGTAGATATATATTCGAACCATATACGGGGTACAGCAGCCCCCTGCCCTTCCACCACACACAGCAGAATAGTACCCACTGCATACGATTCAAATCCTTGTACTCAGACCCTCAAAACCACACACTCCACCCATCAATACCATATCACAGACCCGAAAGAAATGCCCGAAATAACCCTCTACACCTACTTCCGCTCCTCCTGCTCGGCCCGCCTGCGCATCGCCCTGCACCTCAAAGCCCTCCCCTACACGCCCGTCTACCTCAACCTGCTCGACGGCGCCCAGCGATCCCCGGACAACCTCGCCCGCAACCCGTCCGGCACTGTGCCCACCCTCCTCATCGCCCCGTCCCCGCGTTCCTCCCCCGCGGACGGCCACACCCAGGACACTATCAAGATCACCCAGTCCCTCGCCGCGCTGGAATACCTCGACGAGGCCTTCCCAGATACCTACCCCCTGCTCCCGCGCGACCCCGCCAAACGGGCACTGGCCCGCACCCTGGCCCAGATTATCGCGTGCGATGTGCAGCCCGTTACGAATCTGAAGGTGTTGAAGCGCGTGGCGCCGTTGGGCGTGGATCGCGCGGAGTGGTCGAGGGGGGTGATTGTGGATGGGCTGAGGGCGTATGAGACCATTATCAAGGAGGAGGGGGTGGGTGGGGCGTATAGTGTGGGCGATGAGGTGACGGTCGCGGATGTGTGTTTGGTGCCGGCGGTTTGGGGCGCGGAGAGGGTGGGTGTTGATGTTGCGGGGGCGTTCCCGGTGGTGGCCGGGGTGGTGGAGAGGTTGGAGGGGTTGGATGCGGTGAGATGGGCGCATTGGGCCAGGCAGGGGGATACACCTGCGGACTTGAGGATTGAGTAGATTGCTTGGTTGTGTATCTACGTTGGGGATCGATTGTTTGGTTTGCTGGAGGATAGGGGCACATTGTTTCAATTTTATCTGTACGGTACGCAAATTAAACCACCGGGACTGCTAGGTTACTCGGGGAAAGAAGCTAGTCAAAGTTCAACCGAGGCGCAGCAAGGATCTTGCCTACGCAATCGCCAAATCCAACATAATTCCCCTCCGTGCCTGCTTTCCCGCGCAGGATCACCGTGTCGCCGTCCTCCAAGAAGATCCGGTCCGAGCCATCCGCCAGCTGGATCGGGTTCTTCCCCTTCGTCTGCTCGATCAGACTGCCCTCCATGCCGGGCTCCGGGCCGGAGATGGTGCCGCTGCCCAGCAGATCGCCCGTCCGCAGGTTGCAGCCCGTGATCGTGTGGTGCGCCAGCATCTGTGGGAAGGAGAAGATGAGGTTCTTGGCGTTGCTGCGCGAGATGGTCGTCGGCTTGCCCCCCTCGTTGGTGAGCTCGAACTCCAGCGGGATATCGAAGACGTTGTCCGCGCGCTTCTCGCGCAGGTACGGCAGCACGTTCTGGTTGTTCTCGGGCTCCAGGCTGGCGGTGCGGAAGGGCTCCAGCGCGTCCAGCAGCACCACCCACGGCGAGATGGTCGTCGCCCAGTTCTTGGCGTTGAACGGCCCCAGCGGCACGTACTCCCACGCCTGGATGTCCCGCGCCGACCAGTCGTTCATCAGCACCACCCCGAAGATGTGGTCCTCGGCTTCCTGTACGGAGACCGGCTGGCCCAGCTCGTTGGGCCGGCTGACGAACGCGGCCAGCTCCAGCTCGATGTCCAGGCGCTTGCAGGTCGTGAACGTCGGCACCTTGGGCACCGCGGTGGGGTTGGCCAGGATCTGGCCGTTGGGGCGGTGGATCGGGGTGCCCGAGGGCACGATGGAGGAGGCGCGGCCGTGGTACGCCACGGGCAGGTGTTTGTAGTTGGGCTGGAGCGCGTTGTCGGGACCCCGCAGGAGCACTCCCAGCGTGTAGGCGTGGTTCAGACCCGCGTAGAAGTCCGTGTAGTCGCCAATCTGCATCGGCAGGTGATTGGTCACTTCTGACAGGGGCAGCAGGGCCTCCTGCTGGAGCGACGCATTGTCTTTGAGGATCTGGGGGAAGGGGGTGTCGGCGCGGAAGATCGACTGGATGTACTCGCGAACCTGGCGATGCACTGGCCGTCCCAATGCTGCGAATGCGTTCAGCGTGGGTTGGTCGAAGACATTGAGGTGAGGCTCGAAAGAGGGCAGCTGGGCGAAACCGCCCGACGAGGCGAAGGCATTCAGGTTCAAGGCGTAGTCGCCGATCGCAATGGCAGGGACCCGCGAGGCAGCTTTGGCTGTGGAGATGATTCCGAAGGGAATGTTTGCCAAGGAGAACGGCGAGTTCTTGGGGATCTGTAGCCACGAGGCCATGTTGTGTGATGGAGGTAAAGGCTGAGAGGATACTGAAAGGTGGAAGAGGAGAGAGAGATGGTGACTGGAGAAAAGATTGAAGAAAGACGAGCAAGCAAGAAGTATGTTATGTCTTCATGCGACGGATGAACCGCGGGGTTGAGCGCCCACCTGCGGAATTCACTCCGTCTCCGCTTATCCCCGGCAATTGCATTCCGCGTCTTTCCCCAACCGACCGGAAGCTGCTGCATTTCCGCTGCCATCTTCCTTTCCACCCTCATTCCCGCTGAATATTACGTCCATTAACGTCCATTATTATTAGTAACTTCGCAATATGCTGGATATGTCTACTCTTCAACTCTTTGTCCTGAAAGATTGCTCACTCTAGTCGAAGGCTGCAGCATCTTCTCGTTCAAGCGGGATTCTCGACCTCGCACCGCAAGAGCCGATCCAGAACGAAGGCCTTCCATATGTTTTGTCCTCGAATGCTTGAGAATTTGCAATGACTTGGAAAGATTGATTATGAGTCCCGGGTCCATCTCTGGACTTGCATAACCATCTGTTTTGAGCAACGACCCCGAAAAAGAGATCTGTCGAATTTCTGTGGCATCAAGACAATGCTTATTCAGCTGCGACCGCTGCGACCGCTGCGACCGCGAGCCTTGCAAGTTGATTCGGGCAAGAGGCGAAGAACAACAAAGAACAACTCGGACATCCGCGCCAGCCTGTCAGCCTGCTTGGGGCTCATGATGGCGGCGATATCAGCCACTGTTAAGTCCGCACTACCGTCGGTCAAGCCTGGTGTAGTGGAAGGCTGGCAAAGTGACTGCTTGTTATCTTGTTAGCCTAGTAGCGCGCCTGATCTTAGTGCCAACACTAGCTGGGCTAATAAATTGGCTCCTGGCTGCACTCCATTTCAGCCTCACCTACGCTCACCAGACTCTTTCAGGGGCGCATTGGTCGCAATCCAGTGCAGGTATCATGACTGAGAAGACGGTTATACCTTCCAAGCGTCAGAAGGCGTTTCGCTCGAGATCGAAAACGGGTTGCCGCACCTGTCGGTAGGTATAACACGGCAGTACCCGGACTCATGGCTGACCACTCCAGTGTGCGCCGTGTGCGATGCGATGAGTTCCCGGGGGCATGTAACAACTGTACCTCTACCGGTCGGAAATGCGAGTATGACTTTCATCGGCTTCCTGCCAGGCGTAATATGGGTCTCCCACGCATCTACCTCAGCCGCTTTCATAGCCCGGCTTTGACCTCCGATGAGCAAACCTGTTTCTCATACTTCCAATACCACACAATCTCAGGTCTCGTGGATTTGTTCGACTCGCCTCTCTGGGAATGCTACATTCTTCCGCAGAGCTGTGCCGAGCCTGCAGTCTGCCATGCGGTCATCATGTTTAGTGCAATCCACCAGGACGCGGAGACAAATCGTATGCGACTGTCGGGTAATCGAACAGATGACTCCCATTTGAACTTCGCTCTGGAACATTCCACCCGATCCTCCGCCCTGCTGAGAAGAAGAGGCGCGTCCAACGACCCACAAAAGTATCAGGCTGTTATCACATGCTGTCTGCTGTTTGTGATGGGAGAGCTATTGCGGGGTCATTATGGCAGAGCAGCCATGCACCTTCACCATGGGGTGCAACTGATTAAAGAGGCGCAGGCACAGGGACAGATAATAGAAACCGTCCTTGTCGACTTCTTCGACCACCTCAATGTTACCGCCGCCTTATATGCCGCCGAGGGACCTACTCAGAGCATTGACGCAGTAGATAAGCCTGAGTGGGTATTGAACGTATGTCCTATCGTTGTAAATAGCGTCGGTGAGGCACGGCAAGCTTTCACGGAAACGCTCAATTACTCGATTCTCCTGATCGCGTACCTGATGCGCTCAACGCAGGCCGAGATTCTGGCAAAATATGACGATCTGTGGCTCAAAAGACAGAGAATCCTTGCCCGATACGCAGATATTGCGCAGGCCTTTGATTCCTTCTGCCAGGAACGCGGCTGCAAGTTCACTCCCAAGGAAGAACGTGGAGCGCAGGTGCTTCGTCACCTCCTGCTGGTCCAATACGTCACCCTGAAGGTATTGTTTCCCGGAGATTGCAGCACCAGTCAGATAACTGCCGAATGTGCTGCGGTACTTTCCAGTAGCCTCGCTATTATGGACCAAATCTCGAGAAGCACGACCTTCACAATGGAGCCGGTGGTGTGTCCCGGCTTGCACATTGTGGCCACTCTATGCCCGGATCTCCGCTTGCGGGTACGAGCTATTGAAGCATTGCGTGCCTGGCCGCACATGGAAGGGATGATCAATTCCGAGGTCTGTGCCAGCATTGCGATTGAGGCGCTGAAGGCAGAGGTACAGAAGATGAGGAGGGACGAAAGCTGGATTGCTGCTGAGTATCCCGAGCAAAGGGATCGGTTTCTGGTGGAGGTTCTCCAATCAAGCCAGAAGGCTGCCGATTGGGCGCCGATTCGCATGTCGCAGTTAGACATCGGTGATGCCGTACCTTATCCAGAGGACACTGTCGTATTGAATGATATACTCTAACGTTCATTTTAATAGGCTATATGTTAGTGAAGGGTATGTAGACAATACTATATTGCATATTCACCTTGCTGTTCCTGCTGAACTTGTCCGATACTTGACGGCGTTGTTGCATCACGCCATGACTTCATTGAGTATCATAGCGAATTCGACGAAGTTATTCTGAGGTTTCTTCTTGTGCCATGATGCTCGAATTGATTCCATCAAGGACCACAGCGAGATATGACATACTCTACACGAGTGTCTGCTGTACCGTGATACTCGAACTGGTCTCAACCAACGAGACCATGGTTGAAGCTATTCAGAGACTTGGATGGCTATAGGAGCGAGTCAACCACCCATACAGTCATAATTGCATAGCAATGATGGTAAGACCACCGGAAATGCATTTCCTGATGCTTGATACGATGATGCATCTGAGTCACCATCCTAACTACCTGAATTCTCCCGTTGAATCTTTCCATCTGCTGAATCTATCCACAACACCTCTTTTGCACCGTTCCTGCACCACCTTAGTATCATCAAGTAGCATCCTCAACATCCACTACCTCCACTACTATCAAGCACCTTCACTACTATCAAGTACTTTCCTCCCATCGAGAACCTTTCCTACCATCAAGCACCTTTTCTACCATGAAGTATTTCATCCCAGCCCCCATTTACTCGATATCAGTATCGTATACTAACCCATCCACAGCACCGCGACAAAGCAACACTACGGAGGCGGACGGCTTCCCTGGCCTGCAACCTCCACCAGCACCAGCAAGCCACCGACCACCGACAAGAACAAGAAGAAGAAGTGGCTGCGCTGGGCCATCCCTCTGGCTGTGGTGGTTATCGCCATCACCATCCTGGGTGCCTGTCTGGGCACTCAGCTGAACAAGCACCCGAAGGCGACGCCTATGCGCCTGGGTAATGGAACCAGTGAGTCCACCACAGATCCCGAGGGCGCAGGGCACCAGGCTGGGGTTGGCGATAACCACAACCACGACCACAACAAGAACTACACTTCCAGTGATGGGGTTCCTCGTGTGGGACTGCCGAATCGTGGAGTTCCGTCTGGCTCTTCGCTGCCTCAGTCTGGTGGTCCTGTTGTGCCTGTTAGCCCTGCGCCTGTCAACACTATTGCCCCTGTCAACCCTGCGCCTGTTTACCCTGCGCCTGTTAACCCTACTGCCCCTGTCTCTCCCACTGCCCCCGTCAACACCATTGCACCAGCCCCTCTTACACCTATCATCCCCACCATCCCTCCCAACCCACCAACCACCACATTCCAAACCCACCCAAAAGACCCCACAACCAACCTGAAACCCCCAAACACCCCCCCAAACCAACTCTACACCATCCTCCCCATGCCCCCCACCCCCCGACCACCCAACCCAGCACCCAACCCAGCACCCACCCCAGCAAACCCTAACCCTAACATCCCACCCCAACCAGCACCTACAACAAAACCACTAACGCCCCTCCGCATAACCACGCCGGAAGACCAATGCACGACCCTGCACGGAATAACCTACACCTTCTACGGCTACCCCGACAACGACCCGCCGGGGGCCGCCATCGCGTACGAGTGCCCGCACCGCAGCGGCAGCGGCACCGCCGGCGGGACCGGCACCTACGATGACCCACTGACCTTCGCGACCGCGCCGGGCGAGTTCGAGCTGTGCGAGGTCATCTACTCGCCGTACCTGCAGAAGTACCTCATCCACGAGGACTACTGCGAGAGCTGCACGCGGCACTGGCCGCACATGTGGCATGTGGACGTGTGGTTGGGCGGGGACTCCGTGGGCGCCGCGGCGGAGCAGCTAAGCTGCGAGGCGAGGCTGACGCCCGAGCTGGAGAGTCAGAGTGTGGTCAGGGGGCCGAGGGGCGATTTGCCTGTTGATGGTGGGTTTCCTTTCTTTCTTGGGGGGGTGGGGATAGGGGTTGGGTTGGGATGGGTTAGGGTATGCTAACGCTCGACAGGCACCACGTTCTACGCCGGGGGGCATTCCGCCTGTGGCGTGGAGCATGTCTACCATGCGGCTGGGGCGGAGGATTATTGTTGATGGGGGCTTGGCGAGGACCACTTGCAACAAGGCCCAGGTCCTTCTGACCAGGGAACAACGGGTCCAGTCCAGGGAACGGGCCCGACAATGGGGTTGTGGGTTGGTGGCTTGCTGGGGGTTCTGTTTCTGGGGGACAGCTTGGTGGCTGCGTGTCTTGCGGGGTTGTCGCTGGTGGCGCCGACGCGGGTGCCTGTTCACCTTGTTCTGTGGGTTTTGCTGGTGGGAGCGGTGGTGCCTGTTTTGTTGGGTGGGGTTTGGTATCCCCAGCTGCTTGGGGTTATGTTTTGATTGATTGCTCTGGGAGCCTTGCTTTGCTTGTTTGATGTTTTCTGGGGGGTTGTATTGATTGTTGCATTTGCATTCTTGCGTCTTTGCTTCGTTGTGTTTGGCTGTAAGTGATTGGCATGTGGTGAAGGTATAAGTCTGGGATCTTGAATTGTGTTTAGCTATAACTGATGCATGCGAAATGAAGATTGAAGTTTGGGATCTTGCATTGCGTTTGGCTATAACTGATGCATGCGAAATGAAGGAACAAAGTCCACAATCTTGAATTGTGTTGATGGTAAATTCCTGTAGTGCACAAGTAGGGCTGCTCGTAGACCACGCTTATGACCAAGGTAATTACGTGAAGATCGTCTGGCGTACTTCAAATCGAAGCAGGGTATTGCGGTTTCTTGCGTGTAAGGAAAGTGCATTTCTCGCTCTTTCCGAATAAAAGGCTAGTCATAAACATGATCTATTCTCTAAATCTATAATTTTGCTTCCATGAGTTACGTGCCAACGATATCAATCAACCATCACTCAAAACTCTCCAACAACACCTTCCCCCCCTCAACACCCGACACCACCTCCCGCACCGTCTCAGCCACCAAATCCAGCCACCGCTTCACTTCCTCCTCCTCGCTGCCGACAACGCCCAACTGCAACTGGCCTCCCTTGACAAACGAAACAACCTTGACCGGGTACGCCGCGTCCCCATGCGGGTTCAGAATATCAACCGCACACTCCCGTCCAGCGAAAGGCATGGTGTCAAAGTCCTCAAAGTCCTGGTGATGCACGATCGAGTCGAACGACCCGGCTCCCTGCCATGCGGGCGCACATTCCCGTGCGATCTTGCCGAAGCCCACAAAGTCGTACGCCGCCGACTCGGCGCTCTGGCGCTGCACAGCCCCTAGAAGATCCACCGCGGTCCACTCGCGCTGGATGTTGATTCGGATCGGCGCGAGCTGGTAGCAAGGACCAACAACGTTCTCAACTCCGATAAGGTCGAGGGTACGGCCGGTGGTGACGCCGCCGAAGGTGACGTCGCGTGTCTGCAGGAGGCGGGCGAGAGCGAGAGCCCACGAGGCGGTAAGAAGGGTTGCAGTCGTTGTGGCGGTGGTTTCCTGGACAGAAGTGAGGTCCAGGTCGAGGGATTGAGTGTGGAAAGTGGATCTGGAGGCGGGCGATTTCGGACTGGTGGAGGGGAGAACGGCGAGCGTCGAGTCGTGGAGGAGGTTCTTCCAGTAGGTGAGAGCAGGAGTCTGGGTCTCCGGCTTGGTGATGTGTGCCATGTACGCGGAGAAGGGAACCTGATCGGTCGCTTGCGAACTGGTGTAAAGGGTTTCGAGATCGCGGAGCAGGTGGGGCAGAGACTCGCCGTCATATTGCGCGTGAGAAAGACCGAGGACCAAGGCTTCGCGGCCGTCCAGGGCTTCGACGTGGAAGAACTGGAGGAAGGACGAACCGAGAGGGAAGTCTGAGGCAATGTGGTTGTTGCACAGCTCGGTGATGTACTGCTGCAGGTCTTCTTTGTCGGCTGTGTGCTGCGTCAGGGGGGTGGCGAGCTCGTTCAGCACAACCTGATAGAAGGCCGATTCGTGCTCGACAAAAACGGTCCGCAGGATGTCGTGGGTTTTGACGAGGTCGCTGCACGCGCGAAGCAGTCGCTCACGATCAATCGCCCCCTGGTCGAAGATGAGCATGGTGTATTGGATCGAGGTGCGCGGGGCATGCACGGTCGCGCGGATGTCCAGCGCTTGGGAGTCGGTCACGGGAAGAACATCCTTGATTGACCAGGAAGATTCTGCCAGCTGAGGACGGATGATTTGAGACAAGAATTGCTCAACATCCGAACGACCAAGAGTGGAGAACGGCTGGTAGGGCTGAGCTTGCTTGGCCTTAGAGGCTTGATCGACCCTCAACACTCGGGCCGCGTCACCCAGGCGCATATGCTGGAAGATGTCGGCCACGGACAGGTTATGACCCTGGCTACGAAGACTGGAAACCAGCTTCATTGCCAGGACGGAGTCACCACCCAGGCGGAAGAAGTTGTCGTCAACATCAATCTCTTCCTCGGGCAATCGAAGAATCTTGGCCCAAGCGGACCGCAGAATCTTCTCGGGAGCCGTCAGGTTTGTATGAATAGCAGTCTTTGCCCATACCTCCCTAATCCCGTTGCGGGTCTGTTCCAAGATATCCTGAGGGATCTTAGAGGCCAGCTGATTGAGAACACTGTGGTCACTCTGTTCGCCCTGGGTAGGCAGCTTGTCAACCACAATGTATGCAGACGGAGACATGTAAGAGGGAAGCGAGTCGCGAATGAACTTGTCGAGCTTCTTCAGAGCAATAGCAGCACTGACGGGAACCGTGGCACTGAGAGTGGCCGCCGACTCGCCGCTAATCACCTGTGAGGCTGGTAGGATGGAAAGGCTCTCCTCATCGGAAGACGGCCGTTCTACTAGAACGACCAACTCCGGTCCAGTTTCGTTGAGCGACTGTCGAATAGCCGCAGCGGCGCGAACTGCAGCGGGCAGCTGTCTGTTCAAGTGCATTTCGATATCGGCAATATCCACAGCATGTCCCTGAATTGAAACAACATTCTCCTTACGGCCAACAAACACCAGGCTACCATCCTCGCGCAGCTGGACCATATCACCAGTCGATTGCACTGTGCCACTGCGACCAGGGCTAGTCGAACTTCCTGCAACCAGCCAGGCCGGGTTCTGAACATTTTCGCCGGAGACAAAAGCGCCTTCGAGCCAGAGCTCTCCGACACAGCCAATGGGAGACAACAAAGCTGGGTTGCGAGCATTGACCACCCAAGGAACAACTGCAGAGGGGTACTGCGCTCCCTGCTTGATAGTGGCATCGGCACGAAGTCGTCCCGAGGATTCATCCCGCGTCAGAGGAGGGGTCTGGTTCCATTGCCAAATCTGGTTCAGCTCAACCTCAGGCAGACACGAAATTTCTTCAATGCGCCGCTGCAGACCCTTAGTCAACTCGACGCAAGCCACTTCCAGCTGCACTAGCATACGCTTCATCTGTGCAACTTCGATCAAGCTGCCGTCGAAGCTAGCACAGATCCGGAAGCCACCCTTGCGCACAGCACATCCCAGCATAAGCGGATAGGGGTTGAAGTGCAAAGCTTCGCGAACAACATCACCTGTCTCAAAGCCCAGGTCACTACCCAAATACTCCGGTTCCAGCTGGACGACCAAGCCGGTGCCAGCCTCGCATGCGTGTTGGGCGTCGTGGCTGACTTTGCGGATGTTCTGCATGCCCATGTGCTGGTAAGGGACACGAGCCAGAATGGTCTGCTGCACGGCTTGCAGATAGGACTCGACCGTACTGGTACGGCTGACATGAATGCGAACGGGAAGTGTAGCAATCAAGGGGCCGATGATGCTCTCGACGCCCGGCAAAGCAATATCACGACCGGTGAGCGTTTCACCGAAGACGACGTCATCACTTCCAGAATACTGAGAAGCCACCAGTGCCCAGGCACCGCGAATCAGGGTCGCCATGGTGAATGGCCACTTCGCAGCGGGCTTAAGCGGAATCATATGTTCGATAAAGGCGTCGGGAGTGGGCATAAAATCTCTGGACGGCAGGCGGGGAAACTGGGGACCAACCGCGCCCTGTAGTTCGCGTCTCCAGAACTCGTTCATAGCGGCCGCATCCGTATCGTGCACGTACTTGACAAAGTCTCGCATCTGTGCCTGTGGCTCGATCTGCTTAGCGCTCAGCGCGTCACTGACATCCTTAAGCACCAGTGGCTCAGACCACCCGTCGTACACAACATGGTGGATTGTCCAGACCATGTGTTTGCCCTCCTTGGCGTCATCCACAATCGCATAGCGAGCCAGGCTCTCTCCCAAGTTCATTCTTTCCTCGCGATCGTTCTCCAGGTACTGCGCCAAGTCGATTGCATGCTTCCAGGTAATGTTCTCCTTGAGCACCACTTGCTGGAGACCGGGATCCTGCAGCTGCACCAGACGAGTGCGCAGAATAGGTTTGGCGGCCACGGCTTCCTCCCAGGCTTTTTTCCAAGCATCGAGGTCGATGTGCGATGGAATGCGCGCAACTCTCTGTGCCACGTACAACTTGACAGATTTGAGCGAGAAGGTAAAGAGCGACTCCTGCGTGGGCGTGCAAGGATAGATGTCTTCAACTGCCGCTGGGTCAACTCCGCAAGCGGCAGCTGCCTCGCGACAGGCGCTTTCGACATCTTGTGATATCATCGAGAAAGGGGGCAATTCAGCGCGGGCTTCAGTGGCGCAAATCTGAACAACACCGGCCATTCCCGAGAGGGTAGGGTGACCAAAGGTGTTGGCGACGGTGAGGTCAAGACCTTGCTCGCGGCACACCGACACCAGCCTCATCGCCATAACAGAGTCACCTCCAAGAGCAAAGAAGTTGTCCTCAGCCCGAATGCCCTCAGCATCCTGCTTCAACACCACACTCCAAGCCTGGCGAAGACGCTGCTCGAGGTCGGTCAGTTCCCGACCGGCGCCGTTTGTCTCAGCCCCTTGGTCGAGCTGGCGAATGTCAACCGTGGTAGCAAATTGTCGGAGTCTCTTGCGATCCGTCTTGCTGGAAATCAGGACTGGGATGTAGTTCACAGGGATATAGACCGTGGGGACCATGTATCGCGGCAAGACCTTGGCTACGTCGGCATTGGCTTCGGAGAGCGTCTTCTGCTGCTCATCCGATAGCTCAACCAGGCTTAGGTCGCCCTGCTCATTTGCCTTGGCGGACTGGAACGTAACGAACGCAACTAAAGTAGCCTGACCACCGGTTCCCTGCGGCACAACCACCTCAGCGATCACATTAGCATCGGAAGGCAACCTATCCTTGAGCTGACTCTCAATCTCCCCGAGCTCAACACGCTGACCGCGCAGTTTGACCTGGGTGTCCTTGCGTCCAACGAAGACAATACCACCCGAGCCGTCCGGGTCGTACCGTCCCAAGTCACCCGTCTTGTAGAGACGGCCGCGACGACCCTCGTAGCCATTGTGGCCCGCAACAAGCCATTTAGGATCCTCAATGAACACGGTGGCGGTCTTCTCAGGGTCATTGAGGTAGCCCTGACCGACGATCGGGCCCTCAACGAGCAGCTCGCCAACAGCGCCGACGGGCATGAGGGTATCGTGGTCGTTGGGATCGGTGATCCACATTGCGGCACCGTTGCCGGGTCCGATTGAGATATAGTCTCTGCCAGTCGCTGCGCTGCTGTTGACTGTGCATCCAATTGTACATTCACAAGGTCCGTAGCCAATAATGATGCGGGTGTCCTGTCCCCACAGCTTCACATCTCGCGCCGAGACAGCCTCACCGCCAAGACCGAGACCAGTCAGCGATGAGATCACATCCGCATCTAGAATGCGCGCCACTGACGGCGTCAATCCAGCATAATTGATCCTCATCCGCCGGAAGGCTCCGTTGATATCATTGAGTCGATCTTCATCCGAAGGAATGCACAGACAGCCACCGTTGCTCAGAGTCAACAGCATGCTGTCGATACTGACGTCGAAGGCATAGGAGGCGAAGTCCAGTACCCGGGACTCGGGTGTATATCCCACGGCCTTGGCACGTGGAATGGCGCTACTCGTGTAGGTTTGGTGGGAGATGGTTACGCCTTTGGGAGTACCCGTACTGCCCGAGGTGAAGATGATATACATCAGAGTGGTCGGGGGCACGGTGGGAAGCGCTTGAAGCTCCTGGTTCAGATCGAAACCCTGGAAAGTGTCTTCTTCTACAACCAGGACGGGACCGCCGGGCAAAATCGAGGTCGCTAGATCGTGCTGCTTGCGCGACGAAAGCATCATCTTGCCCCCGACCTGTTGCGCCATATTCTGGAGACGGGCTAGCGGAAGCGTCGGGTCCATGAGCGCAAAGGTTGCGCCAGCCTTCATCGCCGCGAGAACTGCCACGATGGTCCACCGTGACTTCTCAAAGCAGATGGGCAAGATATCATCCAGTTGAAGCCCCAACTCCTTGAGCTTCCAGGCGACGTGTGTGGAGTAACGGTCGACCTGTGCATAGGTGAGGTTGCCGTCCCAGGACGCAATGGCCTCGCTCTCCGGAGCCTTTTGCGCCCATTCCGTTACCATTTCATGCGTGCAGAAGCTGTATGTTGGTGGTAGCTCATGGTTCCAGCGCCAGATCTCATCCAGATCGGATGTGGTCGCTCGAAGGCACTCTTCGATGGAGCTCTCGGGATTGCTCAGGCATCGCTGAACCAGGTCCGCTAGCTTGGTGACATGTAGCCCCACGGTGAATTCCAGCACGCTGGGTGAGTGCCATACTGGCCGAATCTTGAGGTTTCCGCTCTCAAAGCCAACCTCCACATGGGTGACACCCTGGTTCACGGTGGTTCGTTAGCTTGAATTCGCAGACTCTCGACCAATGGTTCACTGTATCTTTTACCTCTTCGGGGGCTTGTGACAATGTGCCCGTGCTCAATAACAGCGTCGTGGGTGTCACAGGCGATTGATCTTGCGTGGCTGCGGCGATGTGTTGGGCGACTGCGGCCGAGACCTGACCGATAGTGCTCTGTAATCCCGGCATCACTTGTGGTGTCGAAAGCGACGATTTCTCGGCGCCCGAATACGCCCATTCGAAGCGAACCTGGCCGTCTTCGCAGGACTGCAACAGCAGAATGATCCATGATACTAGCAGAACTTCCTCTCTCGTCCCTGTCGGAGTAATAGTGGAGATGGAGGTGGAGGGAGCTTCCAGGCCGGCAACCTGGAAGAGGTGGAAACCGTCGGCATCGACTTGCGACTGTTGTTGTTGTTGCGACATTATGACTCTAGCTTTGAAATCCCTTGTTAATATATTTGTCAAGGGGGGTCATATAAGTCCTTCGTCTCCCAGCAGTCCAGCTGAAGGTTTGTGTCTGTCTGGTGAGAAGGATTGAGAGGAGGAGGTGGTGGTGGTGGTAGTGGTGGTGGGGGAAGGAGGGGAAGGTGGATTTATTAAAGATGCAAGTAGTAAAAGTAGGTTCCTTCTTTGCCCGCTCTCCGACCAAACCGGCGAGTCACCGCTTGCGCGAGTTCGGCCCTCTGTGACCAAACGGGTATGGTGTGGAATTATATAGTAGGCGCTGGCCTGCCAGCCAAGATTTTGTGGATGGGGAATTGTGCAAGATGCGAAAGGAAGATTCCCCACCAAGTGCAGCGCGAGCCGCGCGCACCGGCTGTGTGGTGGAGATTATCATGTTTCCCTTCATCACATCTGCGGGAAGAAGGAACCTGCAGATTGGCGCTATGTGTTTTTGAGCAGTGGACCGAAAAGGCCGGACGGAGACTTGGAGAGCAATTACGGATATTGCAGACTAATTGTCGACTGCAGAGTGCAGACGAGTAAGTCGCTGACTGTAGGTACCCGATCTCTGCAGGTTGAAAGTCTACCTGAGTCCTGACTCCTAAGGAGAGCAGAGAGGGGCTGGGAAAGTTCACAGCAAGCTGTGAGTGAATGGGCTAGAGTGCCGCTACCTACCCAGTACCCAATTCCACCACCACCACCACCACCACCACCACATCCTAATCCACTCTCGGTTTCAACCCACCACAGAGCATGCCCATCCCTTCCGACGTTCGGCGGGGCGGAGGAGATTGATAAGAAGTCGCCTGACCCAAGACTAGTCTGCTGCAATTTCCTTCGCGCGACTTTAGACTAGGGACATACTCAATTGAGAACTGAGCACCGAAAAAAATGTGCCAATCGAGTTCAGTGCAGCAGCAGCCTTTGCCCACCTCGGTTAGAGAAAACTGGGTTTGGGAGTGGAAGAAATTTTTATCACGGCAGGGTGGGGAAAGACAATTTTATCAATCAGTGATAAGATGAGGTTTTGCTTTTTCGGGTACCGTACCGTATTGTGTGGTGGGGGGAGGGGGTGTCGAGTGTGACCGTACAGTACGCGGTCCAATACATCCTGCGCGGTAACTTATGGGGCTGGGCAATGAAGAGGGGATGAGGAGGGGGTTTTGAGGGTCGAAAGTTGGGACCTGGTTCGATGAGGTGGCTTTGGGAGAGGAGTAAATTGTACAGCATAGAGAGTGGTGATGAAGTTGAGACAATTTATTTTTCCAGTTTTATTTTCCTGCTATAGTCAGTCTGTTTTGCCCACACTTGATGGTGGGCTGGGGGGATTGCGCCAGCTCCAGGTGCAGATTGTCCGCACTTTCCAAGTACAAGCCATTCCCAGTGAAAAGTCAAGGTCCAACACCTTGCTTTGACATACAATGATGAAGAATGTAGTCATCGTCTTTTATTCACAAATCTATGCTCTAATTTGAACCGTTGAATCTTTAACATTGCACGCTAAAAACAAAACTAGATCATAATCATCTCAGTTTCCCTTGACTGCATTCAGATAGCTGATGACCTTCTCGGCCAACAGCCTTCTCGGCTCCGCCTGGTCGTCATTGCTCAGCGCGTGCGAGGCATTGGGGATGATGAAGCTGTGCTGGTCATCCCAGATCTCGGCCTCGCCGTTGTGGTTCGCCGCGTTCCTCCACCGGGCCATCAGCTTCTCCTTGTTGATCCAGTCGGGCACCGCCTGGTCGGCGCCGGAGAACATGACCATCAGGCGACTGCGGAGCAGGCCCGAGTCGCGGATCTTGCCGAAGGTGGTCTGGAGGTGCTCGTCGCTCAGATCGGAGCTGAACAGGTCGTCCTCCTGGGGCGTGGCGGGGCTGTCGGGGCTCACGAGGCTCAGGAAGCGGCGGGCGCTGATGGGGACGTTGGCGCCGTAGCAGATGTTGGCGGTGACGTCCAGGGGCAGGACGGTGTCGAACTTGGGGTCCTTGTCGCGCACCGCCTCGCGCGCCAGCGCCTCGGCCTTGTCGTACACCGCCCGCACCTGCTCGGGCGTCTTGCCGTTGAACCCCCAGTGGAGCACCCACTGGATGGCCTCGCGGTCGGAGACGGGCGCCTGCATGATGGCGCCGTCGAGGGCCATGCGCTGCAGGTGCTCCAGCTCGCTGTCGAACGGGTGGGCGACCGTGAAGGGGTTCGGCCGGTAGAGGTAGTGCAGCACGCACTGGCTGCCCGTCGAGTGGCCCATCAGCACGATCTTGCCGGGGCTGCCGTACTTCTCCGTCTTGTAGTCGCGGATGTAGTTGAGGCACTTGGTGATCTCGTTCGTGTCGCGGTCCAGGTGGCCCAGACCCCAGGAGTTGTAGGAGGAGGTGAGGTTGAGCATGAAAATGGACCAATCGCTCTTCTCCATCATTTTCGCCATGTCGGCGACGTAGGACGTGGTACCGATCCCATCACCCAAACCACCGACGAAGAGGAGACTGTGAGGTTGAGCAACCTTGCCGGTTGTGTATTCGAAGGTGACGAGGGATTCAGTCTGTCAGTTATGGGAGGTGAAATGGTCAGTTGCCTTCTTGCTATGTCTCTTCCTCTTTTCTCTGCGGATGCGGAGGGGTCAATCGTCGACGTACGTAGTGGTGGAGCATGCCCGGGATACCACCCTTGGGCCAGAATTTGGAGTACAACATGATCTGTGTGGTGGTGAAGAGCTGATATTGTCTGTGGTGTGGAAAGTTGGAAGGCGACGACGGGAGAGAGGGAGTTTTCCAGAAATCCCACGGAAGCTTTTGCAATGGCAGGTTCTCGGGTTCTCAGGTTCTCTCGCAAATGATGGGATGATGCCAGCGGTGGCCTTTAAGAAAACAAACCCCTCTGTTATCGCGTAATTGTGGGGAATGAATTCATAGGCCACGTTCTCCTTTTCCCTCGGCTGAAAGTATTTCTGAGACCGGCAATTGCTGTGTGGGTATTTTTGCTGTTTGTCTTGCTCTTTTCAGTTGGGCCACTCTGAGGAGTAGTCTTAACATACAGTCTGTCCACTTCTGCTCTGACCCGACCTGATCCGACCGACCCGTTGTTGTGAAGGAGCCGGTTCCCTGGGACCAGGAAGCAGTGGCTTATCAATCAGTACACACAGCTTCGTACAGTAACCAAGGTACCAGACACACTCGGGCTGGATGTGCGAGACACTGAAAGCGGACTGAACCTTGTTACTCGGGCTTGTTAGTCCGAGTCGAGTGGTGCTTTTGAACCTCTTGAACAAACCGTGCTGAAAATGCGTATCCAGTGAGGGGTAAGTCACATCGAAACACAACCAATTTCCTGCGACCGGTAACGATGTCTGAGACTAGTCCGTTACAGTGTCCTTACCACGTCAGGGTACGTAATTCATTTCCAGCGGTTCCGGTGTTCGGGCCTCACTATGGATCTAATCAGATTCTCCGGTTCAGCACCAGACAAGCCACCCTTCAGCTATCAGATCCGCTATTGTCTAATCTGATCGAAACTCACCGTTGCGTTTGGGTCTTGACTACTCCGTACACTAGCGTCCCTATGCGCTGTTGGGAGATTCCGACGTTGTTGCAGTCGAGGGATATTTAAGGGGCTGCTGATGAAGGTTAGGTAACCTCGATGGACAACCAAACTACTTATATAGACTGATGCTACAGTGTACGCGGGGTTTGTACGACAGGGGAGCGAACACTGGCAAAGATGGCATCGCCAGCAGCAATTGTACCGTGACTGTACCTGCAGCATGGTGAGGAGCCCGCGAGACCCCCCTGAGCAATTCTCGGAGCACGGAGCTAGTCTAGCAGAAGTCGCTCGAAGCCGTGGCAAACGTTGAGCTGGAGCCCACATTATTTCCTGACTGCCCCCGATTCTTCCCTTGGCATCATTTCGGTGAAAGAGCCATCATGCCGTCTGCCATTGAACCTCTTGCAGTGCATTGGGAAAGTGAATAATGACATGAGGCTACATAGGAATCTTGCCTAGATACAGTACATACTTATCTAGGTAACAAGTACACGCAATCTACAGGATCGAGACATGTGCGATTAATGCTTGGGGGCTCACAAACACAATGCACACCGCCTAAATTTGAGGGGATCGGCAGGCACGGAACAGAGGTGTAAACATTGCAAACAGGGACCATTCTGCGCACACCTTAGGCATTGAATAATTCTTCTGACTGAGGCTATCAAATCACCATCGCTATCACCATCACCAGACAGAAAGTGAGAGACCAGATCAGAAAGATCCACATCACTGAACATACAATGAGTGATCAACGCACCAACTTTCCCTTACAAGACAAAATGTACTCTATCTTCCCGCTCTCTATCTCTTCAATTGATTGATCTCCCTACCACCCTTGCGAAGAAAAAAAAAACATAATCTAGATCAAGCTCACTGTGAGCGGTGGATTAGCTATCTTGCCAATCCGACCGCGAGGGACCGACCTACCTCGAACTTGATCTGTTCTAGGAAGACCACAAAGCGGCGAAGCGTGGTTTCGACCACCGACTCGCAGGGGTGCAGCACGGCATGACCCATTGGCGGCAAGGCCGGCTCAGTGTCCTTCCCCAGGGACTGGAGCAGCTTCTGCAGACTCTCCAGCAGACCCAGGAACTGCTTGGCGTTGCGGCCGATCAGCGTCCGGACCAAGAGTGTGGCTTCCTTCTCATCGAGCTCCATGCGGCCCAGCTGCGACGGGCTGCGCAGACAGATGTACTGCGACAGCGGCTGCTCGAACGCCAGCACCGTGGGGTCGAGGAGCGTGCTGCCGCTGGTACTCGTGATGCTGTAGGCCAGACTGCCGGCCTCGAGGAGGGTCAGGCACTGCTCGGCCAGCGCGGGCAGCATCGCAAAGGACGAGTGCGGGCTACTGCGGCAGCCCTTGCACTTGACCATCGCTTTCCCGTGGGTGACGACCTGGTGGACCAGGTCTAGGATGGTGGCGAGCTCCACGACCGGTTGCAGGTTCCGGCACTCGGTCATGATCTGCAGGAGACGGATCGAGCAGGAGCAGTTGCTGCTGCTGCTGTCCATGACTGCGTGGCGGAGCTCAGAGAGCGAATAGAGCGTTCTATCAGCCGGGTGGTCCAGTTTGCTCCGAACACAGGGTCATCGTTGTATCGAGAAAGATAAGATAGAGACTGCATCTTTGCTGTTGGTAGGAGCTTCGAGCCGAATAGGATCACGATTCGCGTACGCAGTCGCCGCAGGCCTGGGCTCCTGAGTAAGACTGGTTTGCCCTTGCGCCTGAATTCACATGCCTTGCGGCGACTCTACATTGCAGCCCAATCACGCCGTCGTGCTGGGGAGGTACTAGAATAGCCTCACCTTATATCACTTCCGGTGGAAAGGCTCTGTTGATCTGTTTCCTGCGCAAGCCAGTTCACTGTGCGACGTAGCATGCTATGAGATCCGCGCACTCGTCACACAGCTGATTCTCGGCCATGCCCCAGCGCGCAGGCAGCAACCCTGATGCTCCTACTTTTTTGGGTCTAGTACGTAGCATATGCGACTGCCCAGATAAGGCACTTAACACAGGTCTAGTCTGCTACATTACCTTATATGGACTGTGATGTTTTGGGAGAGAATCAATGGAAGCGGAGGAATTTCTCTGAGCCGAAAGTGATGTACGATTGAGATAAGCGAGTATAAATCATGACTGTGCTAGCAATTTAGTCTTCATCATAATCAGCTCCAGCCGCTGATCGGTCTCCATTATCATTCCCAGCCTGCCCCGGGCAGCAGGAACTGCCAAAACTTCTTGCGTACATAGACGGATGCGACGCACGGTCATCTGCAACTCTGATAACCGGAGGTACAGCACCTGGGCTATGAAAAGAAATTTGTCCTCAAATGGAACACAGAATCCTCCTACCACTAACGGACAGGCATCCACCTGTGTCTTCAGATAAAGGCTGCTTGCCCGGCATCGTCCAAAGTTCGCGCTGGGAATGTTATCGGGCCTGTTACTTGTAGGGAGTGGCTCAGGGTTCTCCGCGAACAGCCTTTCTGCAAGTCCGCTGTCCAGGGATATAATGGCCTCTAGAGCGGTCACTAGGCTGTCAATGCTGACCACGACCATCATCAATAGATTGATCCAGGTACGGGAGCATAGGTTGCATTGAAGGATGGTGTGCGAAAGTTGCTGCAGCACGCGTTGACAATTCAAGATGGAGTCAATCGTAGCTGCAGGTCCCGCACGCGATGCAAAGTTGTTAACCTGAATCAACTCGCGTATCGTCGGTTCGTGGCATTGGCACTGGTATTGGAGACTAGGCATGGTGGAATTTGTCTTGAAGTGTTCTGGCACATAGCTGTAGGCGTTGTTAAGCTTCGGAGCTCTCGTTGGGATGAAACTGCCGAAAGGCTCCGTCGCTGACATCGCTCTTGTTACCGTTGGTGGAATACTATCGATAGACGAGGTAGCCGGCTGTAGCCAGGCGAGAGAGTCTTTCTTCAAAGCTTCAAGGTCAGAGGTCCGGCTGTCTGCAGGTCCGTGGGCGTCATCCGCAGGGGACTGGCTATGGCTAGGGAAGTTGCTCGGAGCCAGATAGTAGCACTCTGGGGCTTGGTCTTGAGAGTCCGTCGTAAGGAAACTTCTTGATGGGCTTGTAAAGTGGCTTGAATGAGAGGGACTCGTGTTGTTGACGCTCTCGGTCTTGTTGTTGCTCGGGCCGAGGGAGTCTAGCAGTTCGCGCTCCTGCACTAAATCCGCGACAGAATTCGACATGAACTCCTGCAGCCAATTATCTGAAGATAGGTCGTTGCCGTCGGAATCTTTCGGATCTTGTAAGCAGGTAATATTGTGTGAGTAAATAATAGGTACCACAGGGAGTCATACGATTAGGATCCATAAAGCAGTCTTGGTGTAGACTTGCATCATTCACACCAAGGTTTTCGAGGCTTTCGCTTGCATTGTTGTCAAGCATCGCTCTCTCATTGACACACTGGTAGCTTGATAGATTCGCCCTGACTTCGTGCACCGGCTCCTCTATAATCCTCTTCTTTCTGGGGTACCCACGGAATCTCTTGTCCAAAGGACCTCGGGCATGCTTTGGCATGTTGAAATGGTTTCCATTCGTTGCAGTATCTTTTTTCTTGGCCGGTCTCCCTAATCGTCGAGAAATGCTGTAGATACAGCTGTAGTTGTGCTTTTGGCATCGTAAACATGAGGGTTTCTCATGGCTGCATCGAATTTTCGCCTGCTGGCAAGCATTGCAGGTCGTTCGCACCTTTACACTCTTGGGAAGTGGACCAGTGGTGACTTGCGAAGACTTGTCTTGATTCATTGTAAATACTACAACCCACAGGTTGAGGACAATGCAAAAGACTGCAGTTCAGTTCCAATCGACGTTGGTAATATACTGGTAAGGAAAAATGCAAAGATGAACACGGGCCCTGGTGCCAAAGATAGGGGGAAAGAGCAGTATGGTACATCCGCCTCTACCACCTCGATACTACTGTCCAGGTCCAACAGCGTATAGACCGAGGCAGAGCACCTGAGGTAACCATGATGTTGTAGGTTACATAGCCATGTTTCACGGCTTAGTCGGGAGCATTGACCGGTCAGCTTATCATCGCGTCTCCTATAACACTAGAGTTCTAGGCTGGCGAATCGTGCAGTACGCTTCCGAATGTCGTAAGACCAGGTCGGTAGACCGGGAAGTGTCACTGGAATGTCGTCTAATGAACTTGTTGACATTTTCTCGAAGTAGATCGCGGTTGAAGCTCTCTCAATGCCGAGGAACAGAGATGCTCGGACCCGAAGGGCGGAACTACCGAGCCCTATCCGCCTGTGATCGTCATGTTCAGCGCCAGTCGACAAACCCGCTCAATCGAGTGCTAAAATCGTGCTACATACCTAATTGGTATCATCAGCCCCAAGTCTCCCAGTCCCAGAGTTAGAGCCCCGTCAGAGCCACTCACTCACAGGGCGTTCCCTACCATGTTCCCCCGCGGTGGCCTCCGTCGGAGCCTGTCTTACACAACGAAGATCATTTCACCCGCCACCGGCGCCCCGAGCCATCCTGTGAACGACTCAAAGCTACGGAATATGCGTAACACCGAGTGGCAAAGAAGAAGTATGGGTATGCGAGGACCTCGATTAGAGCTCCGAGATCATCCGCCCTGTTTCCGATGCTGCGGTCAGCCGCTGGGTTTCATGGTTATTTTTCTGCTCAGGAGCCGCCTCACAAGGCGTGATTGATTGTCACAAAATTGAAGGTCTGTAACCATTTGCATTTCACATCTTCGAGCTCATCTTATGATAGTCATGTGTTAGCAGACGTTGCATATTTCGCATGTGTAGAGTGTCAATCACAGCAAGGAAGGCACATTGAGCAGCATTCCAAGCGTCATGGAGCATTTTCCAGCAATTCCAAACTGCGAAGGCGTGCAGAGCCTCTTTAGGTCGTCGAGCGAAGACAGTCTCTGTTATTCTGGCATATGTTCTGTGACATCTGAATCTAAAGAGAAGCAGGAGAGTGTGTCGTATTGTGCAGATTGTTTCACACGCTGATGACGGCTGAGAATGCTTTGGCCCTATAAGTTAGTCAGTGGTCGATCATATTGCTCTTCATCGGGCCTTTAAGACAAAGTAGAAGAATGGAGGAGAAAAAGAAGCAACTGGGAGGCCGAATTGTAGTCACGATGTTGATGCCGACATCAGGAACCTCGTCTCAATTAGGCAAGTGCAGATAAGCGGGGCGGGGTCGAGTGACGTAGTTATGCACCTTAGTTACATCTTGCTGACTCATTTCCATACCGTCTTTTCCGGAACTGCCGGACATTCTCACCAGGTACAGCTGGAGTTCCAGTTTGTCAGTCTTCCATCTTCTCAGGAACGTCTCAATGGCTTCAGTTCCAGGCCCTGATCCCCTCTCCGATGGGGAATTTTCCTCACGTCCGCCGCGCTACGCCGGTGAGGATACCACCCCGACCAGCCGGCAGGAAATCTGGGGCTGGTATGCTTACGGCATCGCTGCCGAGGTCTTCGCTGTCTGCGGTGTCGGTACGTTTCTGCTTCCCTTCTCCCTGTACACCTCCCTGTACACCTCAATATCAGCACAAACTTACTAGTCCCAGGATCATTCCTTCCGCTGACCCTTGAGCAACTGGCTCGCGAGCGAGGATTACTCCAATCCAGCCATCAGCCATGCGTTGGGCCGAACGCGCCATCGGGCGACTCCAATGAACAATGCGTCGTCCATTTGATGGGGTTGGAGATCACCACCGCCAGCTTCGCCATGTACACCTTCTCCCTGGCGGTGCTTGTGCAAGCATTGACTCTGATATCGTTCAGCGCGCTGGCAGATTACGGTATGACCACCCGATTCTCTCTCTTTCGGTGCCTTGCTCCATACATCAGCACTGACCATGATGCTCCACTTCTGCAGAGAGTAACCGCAAAACCCTCCTCATGACCTTCGGCTTCGTGGGATCCGTAACGAGCATGCTGTTCATGTTCATTTCCCCGTCCGTCTATATTCTTGGTGCGCTCCTGGTCGTGGTAGGCGTTGTATGTCTGGGGTCCTCGTTCGTCGTGCTCAACTCGTTTCTGCCCGTCCTCGTTGCAAACGACCCGTCCATCGCTTCACCAATCAAAGAGACACCGGAAGAGCTTCACCAGCTACACCCTGATGGAGAGGAGGATGACGATACCTTTCGCACGCATTCCGCCCGGTCGCATGGTCATGATCAGGGCGAATCCGGTCAGTCCTCTACAACGAAGGCCGTGTCTCCCGAACTACAGCTGTCGACGCGCATATCGTCCAAAGGAGTGGGGCTTGGTTATTGCGCCGCAGTGCTCGTTCAAATCCTCAGCATCGGGCTCCTCTTGACTCTCTCGAAGACCTCGATTGGTAAATCGGCCGGCACGCTGCCGCTGCGCTGCGTGCTGCTGCTAGTGGGTCTCTGGTGGTGCGCGTTCACACTGGTCAGCCGGCGGTGGTTGCGCACCCGCCCCGGCCCGCCGCTAGAGGAGGCCGGCGGCGCAACACACAACGGCGGCCCACCCCGCGCTAGATGGCGGCTCTGGCTAAGCCTCGTGGGATTCGCCTGGAAATCGCTGTGGAAAACCGCGCGGGTGGCGGTGGGCCTGCGCGAGATGCGCCTGTTCCTCGTGGCCTGGTTCCTGCTCTCAGATGCGCTGGCGACGGTGTCCAGCACCGCGATCCTGTTCGCGCGCACCGAGCTGCACCTGAGCACCACCATGATCGCGCTCCTGTCGATCACCGCCACGGTCTCCGGCATGGCGGGCGCATTCCTGTGGCCGATCGTGTCGCGCCGGCTGGGTCTGCAGTCGCATCAGACCATCATGCTGTGTCTTGCGCTGTTCGAGCTGATCCCCTTGTACGGACTGCTGGCCTACTTGCCCTTTGTCCAGCGCTGGGGCGTCATCGGCCTGCAGCAGCCCTGGGAGATCTATCCACTGGCTGTCGTGCACGGCGTGGTAGGAGGCGGATTGGCCTCGTACTGCCGCTCTTTCTTCGGGCTGCTGATTCCGCCCGGCAGCGAAGCAGCCTTCTACGCCCTGTACGCCGCCACGGACAAAGGCAGCTCGTTCATCGGCCCGGCCATCGTGGGCATGATGATCGACAAGACGGGCCAGGTGCGAAGCGGGTTCTTCTTCGTCGCGGTGCTCATCCTGCTCCCGATCCCGCTGATCTGGATCATCAACGCGGAACGGGGCCGCGCCGAGGGGCTCGCGGTTGCCGAAAGTCTGGCCGATCGGGATGGCGAGGAAGCGGAGGGCTTGCTTTCTCGACGAAGCTGAGCATGATGATGTTGATGCAAGCATGGTGTTATATATATTACTAGTATAGACAGATGGATGTATTAGTCTAGATGATTCCCCACGAATAACGAATTATTGTACACCGAACACCGCCCCCGGGTCCCGCCCCCTTTATTCTTGAAAAGTCCAAAGAAAATAACCCCGCTCAATCGTCGTCCACAACTACCACCATCCATACCCCCACCTCCCCGTTGCTCGCTAGCAATGGCGTGCAATGGACCCATCGATCGCGTCCTTGGGTGTTGTACCTCGTCACCCACTTGATACGTGCGGTGACGCTCCGCCCACCTTTCAGGGCTTCCAGCAACTCCTCACGCACGGTCGAGGTACTCCCGATCCGCGAGAGGAAGGAGGACTGCAACATGCCGGGGATTTGGAGCGCGGGGGAGGTGAAGAGAATCCGCAGCGAGGGGTACGGTCGTACCAGGAGGTACTGGTTTTAGTGTCAGTCGCAAATCGCTTGCCAGAAACGCAGATAGGAACAAGCGAAGACGGAAAAGAGGAAGGAAAAAAGAGGCCTACATTTTCATACACCCCGGTCAATGAGCCTCTCCACATGGATTCCTTCACCTCTCGCTCCCGGATGGCCTCATCCTCGACCATCGACCACGTCCGACTCATCGCCTGCCAGCTGCCCCGATCCAGCATCCCGGCCGTACTGGACACCGCGCTGGGGTGGAAGAGCGTCCCGCCGACCTCGTGCGCGACGGTCAACTCCCGCGGGCTGAACAGCTCGGTAAGCTGCCGGAATTCGTCCTTGGGACGGTCGGTGTCGTCGTCCTCGTCATCTTCGCCGTCGTACCGCTGGCTGTACACTGATCCTAGTGAGCCCAGACTCTCTCCGGCCCGGTGATGTGGGTGACGGTCATTTTGCATCACTGCCTGCGACGGTTCGTGGTTGAGTGGTGGCTGAGTAGGAGGGTATGTGAAGGTTTTTGTGGCATTATCATTGTCGTCGAAACGGACCTGCACCCCGCCTTCCTCTTCTATCCCTTCCTCTGGCTGGATGATCTCCATGGAGTCCTCGTCCCGCGCATCCTCCGCCGCCTTGGCCTCGGCTCGCCGTTGCTTTGCCTGCAGAGCGCGCAGGGATTCCATCTGTGCACCGTCCATGGCCAGCCCGGAGACGTCGATTTGGGCGCCGATGAAGTACCGCACCGTGCCACGGCTGTCGCACAGCGGGGCGCACTGTAGTAAATTCATGAACGGGGAGCCATCGCGGCGGCTGTTTTCGTGCGCATTAGTTTGTCTCTCCTCCCGTGCAAATTCTCGATACTCTGGCGGTCCGGGTCGTAAGCAACTCACTAATTCAGGAACAGCTCGGAATGATGCCTTCCATTCTCGATGCCCTCGCGAATGCGTCTCACGCTGTTCGGGTTGGTCTTCGGCCCCTGTAAAAACCGACAATTGCGACCGAGCACATAGTCCATGCCGTATTGAGTCGTGCGATGGAATTCTACACACCATTGTCAATAGGAGAGTCAACACTTAAGCAGTAGAGCCGGCAAGCTCGAGAGAGCACATACCCTCCGAGGCGAAAATGATAGGATTGTCGCGTCGTGACGGATCGGTCAGGCAGAACACCTCTGCCAGCGCATCGGACGCGCCCTGGAATTTGGGCGGGAGAGTCCCGCGCACGCGCTCTTCAACCACCCTACTTGTCAAGCTGATACAGCGGGCGGTGATGAAGGCGGGAAGCTCCTCCGCTGTGAGGGCC